AATGAGAGGATTGGCACACTGGAAGATGATCAGGTTTGTTTTATTACTGAATGAGAGGATTGGCACACTGGAAGATGATCAGGTTTGTTTTATTACTGAATGAGAGGATTGGCACACTGGAAGATGATCAGGTTGGTTATGTATTGTCTGATTGTTTTATCACTGAATAGTGTTAGTGCGAGTCTGAATTTAGGGCTTCATGTGATGCAAACAGAACAGCAAGACTGATGGAGAAAAGGATGGACGGAAAGGCACAACGCTATCTGAAGAGGATCAGGTTGGTTATGTATTGTCTCATTGTTGGACCACTGAATGAGAGGATCAGCACACCGGAGGAAGACCAGGTCGGTTGTGTGTCTGATTGTTTCATCAACTGGGACACCACTTGAAATTGTCTCAACAAACAGTCTGCTCTGTAGCCATTTTGTAAATATTGAAAATAAAACTATAAACATATTCACTGGTACACACATTCAAAGGGGTTATATAAGTGTTGGGGGGGAGGGGGGGGGGGGTAGGGGGTTACTGCAGGTCCATAGTTTTGTCTGTGTGTTGCAATCATTGACTGGTTGTCCATGTTACAATCATTGGCTTTTTGTCCATGTTACATTTATTGACAGGTTTCCGTGTTAAATTATAAACTGGTTGTCCATGTTACAGTCATTGGCTTGTTGTCCATGTTACAATCATTGAATGGTTGTCCCTGTTATTGACTAGTTGTCCTTGTATGCCAATAGGAACTAGATTACTGCAAATCAGTCATCTTGTCTCATTGACTAGTTGTCCATTTACAATCTTTGACTAGTTGTCCATGGACAATCATTGACTAGTTGTCAGTATATAGTCATTGACTGGTTTTCTATATTACAATCATGAACTGGGTTGTCCATATTACGGTCATGGACTGGGATGTCCATTTTAGTAATTGACTGGGTTGTCTATGTTACTGTCATTGACTGGGTGGTCTATGTTAGTCATTGACTGGCTGTCCAATCATTGACTAGTTTAAAATAAAACATGCTGTCAGTGATCACACACAAGGGGCGAGTGGTCTCAAGGCAGGGCATCCACCTCGAGTGCTGGAGGTCCTGGGTTCAGGCCCTAGTGAAGGCTGGGATTTTTTATACGTGGATTTCTAGTAGTAAGATTGGATGCCCGTGTGTATTGTTGCGCATGTAAAAAATCCCTTGGCAGTTGGAAATCTAAAAGAGTAGCCTAACGGCGCTGCCCGGGCAAATTTGGAGTTAAAAATCTACAGGATTCTCGACAGTGCAACAGAGTTTGTGCACTGCGCCAAATTTATTTAGACTCAGGCTTGAGTTAGAAGTAGAATGGAGCACTTTTGGGTAACTACCCTTGTGCCATGATGTTGATCTGTTGTGTAAACCAAATTGACTAGTTGTTTATGTTTCAATCACTGACTAGGTTGTTCTTGTCTTCCAATAGGAACTAGATTATTGCAAGTCTGTAGTCTTGTCTGTGGAGGAAGAACTGGGTGTGCGCACCGTCATGGAAGACTTGCTGTCAGTGATCACACACAACACTGACGCACCAGTCTGCACAGCAGCGGTCCTAATTCTCAACACTTTCTGTGCCCACACGGAGGCCGATGTCAGCGAGTACCTGCCCCAGCTGTTTCGGGGCCTGATTGGACTGCTGGCCCGCAGTGATGAGAAGTTGTTGCTGGCAGCCTGGAACTGTTTGGATGCCATTACCAAGGTTCTTTCTCTACTGTCTCTGATTGTCTTAGAAAGAGAGAGAGGACAGGGAGTGTCTGGATGTCTTTATCAAGGTTGTCTTTCTCTTCTGTCTCTGATTGTCTTAGTAAGAGAGATAGAGAGGACAGGGAGTGTCTGGATGCAAATATCAAGGTTGTCTTTCTCTCCTATCTCTGATTGTCTTAAAGTGAGAGAGAGAGAGGACAGGGAGTGTCTGGATGCACATATCAAGGTTGTCTTTCTCTTCTGTCTCTGATTGTCTTAGAGTGAGAGAGAGGACAGGGAGTGTCTGGATGCAAATATCAAGGTTGTCTTTCTCTTCTGTCTCTGATTGTATTAGAGTGAGAGAGAGAGGATAGGGAGTGTCTGGATGCAAATATCAAGGTTGTCTTTCTCTTCTGTCTCTGATTGTCTTAAAGTGAGAGAGAGAGAGAGAGAGAGAGGACAGGGAGTGTCTGGATGCAAATACCAAGGTTGTCTTTCTCTTCTGTCTCTGATTGTCTTAGAGTGAGAGAGAGGACAAGGAGGTCTGGATGCAAATATCAAGGTTGTCTTTCTCTTCTGTCTCTGATTGTCTTAAAGTGAGAGAGAGAGAGAGAGAGGACAAGGAGTGTCTGGATGCAAATATCAAGGTTGTCTTTCTCTTCTGTCTCTGATTGTCTTAAAGTGAGAGAGAGAGAGGACAAGGAGTGTCTGGATGCAAATACCAAGGTTGTCTTTCTCTTCTGTCTCTGATTGTCTTAGAGTGAGAGAGAGGACAGGGAGTGTCTGGATGCAAATATCAAGGTTGTCTTTCTCTTCTGTCTCTGATTGTCTTAGAGTAAGAGAGAGGACAAGGAGTGTCTGGATGCAAATATCAAGGTTGTCTTTCTCTTCTGTCTCTGATTGTCTTAAAGTGAGAGAGAGAGGACAAGGAGTGTCTGGATGCAAATATCAAGGTTGTCTTTCTCTTCTGTCTCTGATTGTCTTAGAGTGAGAGAGAGGACAGGGAGTGTCTGGATGCAAATATCAAGGTTGTCTTTCTCTTCTGTCTCTGATTGTCTTAAAGTGAGAGAGAGAGAGAGAGAGGACAAGGAGTGTCTGGATGCAAATATCAAGGTTGTCTTTCTCTTCTGTCTCTGATTGTCTTAGAGTGAGAGAGAGGACAGGGAGTGTCTGGATGCAAATACCAAGGTTGTCTTTCTCTTCTATCTCTGATTGTCTTAGAGTGAGAGAGAGGACAGGGAGTGTCTGGATGCAAATACCAGGTTGTCTTTCTCTTCTGTCTCTGATTGTCTTAGAGTGAGAGAGAGGACAGGGAGTGTCTGGATGCAAATACCAGGTTGTCTTTCTCTTCTGTCTCTGATTGTCTTAGAGTGAGAGAGAGAGAGAGAGGACAGGGAGTGTCTGGATGTCATTACCAAGGTTGTCTTTCTCTTCTATCTCTGATTGTCTTAGAGTGACAGAGAGAGAGAGAGAGAGAGGACAGGGAATGTCTAGATGCCATTACCAAGGTTGTCTTTCTCTTCAGTCTCTGTTCTTTGGGTGGGAGGTGGTATCAGGTGTGAGAGAGAGAAAGTTGACAGTAGATATATAGTATAGCCAAAGCAAAATTTTCCCTTTATAAATTTGAACAAAGAAGACACAAACAATAGATTGCATAAATTTTTGCCTGGCATATTTCGCTGTATCTTGTCAAGTGCATTTCAAATCCTTCACACATCAAAACGCTAATATTTCTTTATGTCACCGCTATTTGTTACCTCCGCCCTGAACTTTGTCAACAAAAAGACATGGTTCTGACACCACGGCTGCACTGGTGAAACAGGCAGTTGCGTTTGATTGTTGTTTAATTTGTACTTCAATTATAAATGATTAACTTATTTGCTTCATTTATGTAATTGTTACTGTAGTATGTACTTGAGTCATTTTTCTTGTCTTTGAGTGACAGGCAGATCAGGTTAAAACACTTAAAAGGAATCAGATCGGAAAGAAACCTTTTCACTTAGAGGTGACACCAGGAGCAATATGTGGGTTATATTTCTGGCTCAGTAAATGGAGGCAAACGGCTTGAACACTTTGCCACAGAGATTCCCTGATGCTAGTAATGACTGTTTATAACCAAAAATTGATGCTAGTAATGACTGTTTATGACCAAAAATTTGATGCTAGTTATGACTTTTTGTTACAGAAAATTGATGCTAGTAATGACTTTTTGTTACAGAAAATTGATGCTAGTAATGACTTTTTGTTACAGAAAATTGATGCTAGTAATGACTTTTTGTTACAGAAAATTGATGCTAGTAATGACTTTTTGTTACAGAAAATTGATGCTAGTAATGACTTTTTGTTACAAAAAATTTATGCTAGTAATGACTTTTTGTTACAGAAAAATTATGCTTGTTATAACTTTTTGTTACAGAAAATTGATGCTAGTAATGACTTTTTGTTACAGAAAATTGATGCTAGTAATGACTTTTTGTTACAGAAAATTTATGCTAGTAATGACTTTTTGTTACAGAAAAATTATGCTTGTTATGACTTTTTGTTACAGAAAATTGATGCTAGTAATGACTTTTTGTTACAGAAAATTGATGCTAGTTATGACTTTTTGTTACAGAAAATTGATGCTAGTTATGACTTTTTGTTACAGAAAATTGATGCTAGTTATGACTTTTTGTTACAGAAAATTGATGCTAGTTATGACTTTTTGTTACAGAAAATTGATGCTAGTTATGACTTTTTGTTACAGAAAAATTATGCTTGTTATAACTTTTTGTTACAGAAAATTGATGCCAGTAATGACTTTTAGAGATAATTGATGCTAGTAATGTGTGGTTAGTACAGAAAATTGATGATAGTAAAGTTAAAGTCAAGAGGATTTACTCACTGTACCGAGTTTTATCCGATATGGCTCGGTCTCTCTTGAGACTGCCTGCCGGCAGCATTGCACATAGCAGGGACTCCATAGCTCTGGCAACAATCCCCAGGGATCTCCATAAAAATTGCACGCATGAACTGGATGGCGCAGCCGTGAAGTGAACCTACGACCTACAGAGTACAAGATAACAGCGTTACTACTTCGCCAGTGACCCCTGATGCTACTAATGACTGTTTGTTACAAAAAATTGCTAGTAGTGACTATAACAGAATTGATGCTAGTAATGATTGTTTATAACAAAAAATTGATGATAGTAATTATTGTTACAGAAAGATGATACCAGTAATGACTTCTTACAGAAAGATGATACCAGTAATGACTTCTTACAGAAAGATGATACGAGTATTGATTGTTTGTTACAGAAAATTGATGTTGCTAACACTGAGGAGCACATTGTCAGTGTACGGCAGGCTCTCAAGTTCACCTTGCTGGACTTTAAGGGCAAGGAGTTGCCCGGTTTCAGCATTCCCAAGAAGGTAAATATCATCATCATGTTGCATGTCGGTGGTGCTAGTGACATCACAATGTTACATCTTAGTGTTGGTGACATCATAATGTTACATATCAGTGCTGATGACATCATGATACATGTCAGTGCTGATGACATCATGATACATATCAGTGCTCGTGACATCATGATACATATCAGTGCTAGTGACATCATGTGGCATGTGAGTGCTAGTGACATCATGATAGAGTGTGTAGAGTGGGTGCCTTGTGCTGAGTGGGTGCCTTGTGTAGAGTGGGTGCCTTGTGCTGAGTGGGTGCCTTGTGTAGAGTGGGTGCCTTGTGTAGAGTGGGTGCCTTGTGCTGAGTGGGTGCCTTGTGTAGAGTGGGTGCCTTGTGCTGAGTGGGTGCCTTGTGTAGAGTGGGTGCCTTGTGCTGAGTGGGTGCCTTGTGTAGAGTGGGTGCCTTGTGCTGAGTGGGTGCCTTGTGTAGAGTGGGTGCCTTGTGTAGAGTGGGTGCCTTGTACTGAGTGGTTATCCTGCAGTGAAAAATGTTACTCTATATAGTGGCTGCTTTGCGTAGAATTTTTGTTTCAGTCAGTGATTGTTTTGAGTTAAATGGCATCCTGAATATTAAGATTATTCTGTAAGTTTACATATCGGTGTAAGCCACCAATCTGACATATGTTTAAATCTCTGTATCAGGGTAAGCCACCAATCTGACATATGTTTAAATCTCTGTATCAGGGTAAGCCACCAATCTGACATATGTTTAAATCTCTGTATCAGGGTAAGCCACCAATCTGACATATGTTTAAATCTCTGTATCAGGGTAAGCCACCAATCTGAAATATGTTTATGTCTCTGTATGGCACCCATCTGACATATGCTTATATCTCTGTTACCAGGGTATCGCACCAGTCCTACCAATCTTCAGAGAAGGACTTCTCAATGGAACAGCTGAGGTCAAGGAGGCAGCAGCCCTGGGTCTAGGGGAGGTCATAGCCGTCACCGGCTCCGAAGCTCTCAAGGCATCCGTGGTCAACATCACTGGACCCCTCATCCGTATCCTTGGTGACCGGTTTGCCTGGACGCTTAAGGTGGCGGTGCTGGACACATTGTCTATGCTACTGGTCAAGGTGAGAGTCAGCTATGCTGTGTCCACACCAGACTGATGATATTGAGTACTGTGCAAGATTACATTTCAGTTTTGTCAGCTGTAAATGTTGGCAACAGGTTACCTGAGCTCTAGAGTGGACCTGTATTTGTCTGAGTGAGCTTGGTATTTAGTGGTATTTTACTGTTTCAGGGCCTCTCCCTTCTCTCTCCAAGCTCAGAAACCAGCAGGCTGTTGTTGCCAAAGAACCTGTTGTAGTTGTTATTGAAGCTGCTGTTGTTGCCAAAGAACCTGTTGTAGTTGTTATTGAAGCTGCTGTTGTTGCCAAAGAACCTGTTGTAGTTGTTAGTGAAGCTGCTGTTGATGCCAATGAACCTGGTATTGAAGTGGACATTCATGTGCTGTTGATGTCATCCACAGGTGGGGATCATGCTGAAACCATTCCTGCCACAACTACAGACCACATTTGTCAAGGCCATCAATGACCCGCACCGCACTGTCCGGCTCAAGGCTGCCTCGGCATTGGGCAAGCTGATTCTGATTCACCCCAAGGTGGATCCCCTGTTTAATGAGCTCATCACCGGTTTTAAGAACTCGGAGGATGTCAGTGTTAAGTGAGTTTGGATTCAACCCCAGCGCCTGCCTCTCCTATCTGTGGATCTATTTATGTCTGTGCTTACAGGATTTGCACAACTTTTGCAAATTTACTCTTGCAGATCTGTATCCTCGGTTGCAGGTGAAGTTTTAAAAAAACGCTTGTTTTCTCAAGCTGTTAAAATAGAAAGGAAATCTAGTGAAAGTTGCTAAAATGGAACATTTGATTGTGTGTTTGTAACTGTGACTATCAAATGTGTATTTCATGCCAGAAATACAAGTTTACCAATAGCTTCATCTCATACGGTGTCAGGTGGCTGCTCCTAGGAATTTCATCAAAAGACATCTACAATAATGATGACAGACTGTAGTGGTGGTAGTCGTAGTAGAATGGTTGACATTTTCATTAGTCTGTCTTTGTCTGGCTCTCTCGCTTTCTTTCTGTCTTTATCTGGGACTGCCAAATTTTAGGGGGACATGTTGTCAATGACTGCCTAAATGTTATGGGGACATATTGTCTGTGACTGTCTAAATGTTATGGGGACATATTGTCTGTGACTGTCTAAATGTTATGAGGACATATTGTCTGTGACTGTCTAAATGTTATGAGGACATATTGTCTGTGACTGTCTAAATGTTATGAGGACATATTGTCTGTGACTGTCTAAATGTTATGAGGACATATTGTCTGTGACTGTCTAAATGTTATGAGGACATATTGTCTGTGACTGTCCAAATGTTATGGGGACATATTGTCTGTCACTGTCTAAATGTTATGAGGACATATTGTCTGTCACTGTCTAAATGTTATGAGGACATATTGTCTGTGACTGTCTAAATGTTATGAGGACATATTGTCTGTGACTGTCTAAATGTTATGAGGACATATTGTCTGTGACTGTCTAAATGTTATGAGGACATATTGTCTGTGACTGTCTAAATGTTATGAGGACATATTGTCTGTGACTGTCTAAATGTTATGAGGACATATTGTCTGTGACTGTCCAAATGTTATGGGGACATATTGTCTGTCACTGTCTAAATGTTATGAGGACATATTGTCTGTCGCTGTCTAAATGTTATGAGGACATATTGTCTGTGACTGTCTAAATGTTATGAGGACATATTGTCTGTGACTGTCTAAATGTTATGAGGACATATTGTCTGTGACTGTCTAAATGTTATGGGGACATATTGTCTGTGACTGTCTAAATGTTATGGGGACATATTGTCTGTGACTGTCTAAATGTTATGAGGACATATTGTCTACGACTACCTTATCTTATGGAGACTTATTGTCTAGGTCTGCCTACTGTTATGGGAACATGTTGTCTAGGACTGACTACCTTTTTTTTTATGGAGACATGTTGTCTGGGTCTGCCTAATGTTATGGGGACATGTCTAGGACTGACTACCTTATTTTATGGCGACATGTTGTCTAGATCTGCCTAATGTTATGGGGACATGTTGTCTAGATCTGCCTAATGTTATGGGGACATGTCTAGGACTGACTACCTTATTTTATGGCGACATGTTGTCTAGATCTGCCTAATGTTATGGGGACATGTTGTCTAGATCTGCCTAATGTTATGGCGACATGTTGTCTAGATCTGCCTAATGTTATGGGGACATGTTGTCTAGATCTGCCTAATGTTATGGGGACATGTTGTCTGGGTCTGCCTAATGTTATGGGGACATGTTGTCTGGGTCTGCCTAATGTTATGGGGACATATTAAAAAGTAAGTCACTAAAATGCTTTATATTGCAGGGACACATTTGTGCAGGCAATCAGAGCTTGCCTTGAAGGGGCAGGTTCCAAGATGGCAGATTCTGGACGCAGGCAGCTGACCCAAACTTTGGTGGGAATGCTGGCATCTCCTGAAGACAGCACTCGGATGACAGCAGCAGGCTGTCTGGGCACTCTGTGTGCCTCACTTCCCGATGCTGAGCTGTCTGATCTGATGATCCAGCATTTATTGGGTGAGTTTTGGCCAGTGTCTTTGTCGTGGCCATTGTCTCCGTCATGGTCTGAGACATTTCCAGTGTCTGGGTCGTAGTCAGTGTCTGGGTCATGTTCAGTGTCTGGGTCGTGATCATTGTCTGGGTCCTGGTCAGTGTATGTGTCATGGTTGGTGTCTGAGACATGTCTAGTGTATGAGTCATGTCTCATGTATCGGTCATGTTTGGAGTCTGTGTGTCTGTAAAATGAACATCTCAGCAACAGTCGTGTTTAGCAGCATTAGAATTTCAATACAGAATATATTTCTTTTCATTCTCCTCCTCTTCATCTTCTTTCCTCATCCTTTTGCCTCTCCTTCCTTGTCTTAATTATCTCTTTCCTCATCCTCCTTCTCTTTCCCTGTAAGATAATAAGTATTAAAGTCTGTGTGAGAAGAAAACTGGAGTTATTGCGTTGTCATTTACAAGTTCTGCTGACCAACAGACATGACAGCAGGCATTGTTAGGAAGCTATCATTGATATGTTTGTGATCGACAGACACTGACCCCAGCCTGGACTGGACGGTCAGACATGGCCGCAGCATGGCCCTCAGCGTGTCCTTGAAAGATGCTCCAGACAGAGTGTGGACACCAGCTCTAGAGAAAAGTGTGGAGTCCACCATCACTAAACTGATTCTTGCAGACAGGGTAGGTCACTGTCTGTTCTTGCTCTCATTATTGCTTGGTATTGTTGGTTGTGTGGTTTCATCTGGTCGTATAATAGTATGTTGGTTGTGGGGTTTCATCTGGTCGTATAATAGTATGTTGGTTGTGTGGTTTCATCTGGTCGTATAATAATATGTTGGTTGTGGGGTTTCATCTGTTCGTATAATAATATGTTGGTTGTGGGGTTTCATCTGGTCGTATAATAATATGTTGGTTGTGGGGTTTCATCTGGTCGTATAATAGTATGTTGGTTGTGGGGTTTCATCTGGTCGTATAATAGTATGTTGGTTGTGGGGTTTCATTTGGTCGTATAATATGTTGGTTGTGGGGTTTCATCTGGTCGTATAATAGTATGTTGGTTGTGGGGTTTCATCTGGTCGTATAATAGTATGTTGGTTGTGGGGTTTCATCTGGTCGTATAATAGTATGTTGGTTGTGGGGTTTCATCTGTTCGTATAATAATATGTTGGTTGTGTGGTTTCATCTGGTCGTATAATAGTATGTTGGCTGTGGGGTTTCATCTGTTCGTATAATAATATGTTGGTTGTGGGGTTTCATCTGGTCGTATAATAATATGTTGGTTGTGTGGTTTCATCTGGTCGTATAATAGAATGTTGGTTGTGTGGTTTCATCCGGTCGTATAATAGTATGTTGGTTGTGGGGTTTCATCTGTTCGTATAATAATATGTTGGTTGTGGGGTTTCATCTGGTCGTATAATAGTATGTTGGTTGTGTGGTTTCATCTGGTCGTATAATAATATGTTGGTTGTGGGGTTTCATCTGGTCGTATAATATGTTGGTTGTGGGGTTTTATCTGGTCGTATAATAATATTTTATCTGCTGGTATAATATGTTGGTTGTGGGGTTTCATCTGGTCGTATAATATGTTGGTTGTGGGGTTTTATCTGGTCGTATAATAATATGTTGGTTGTGGGGTTTCATCTGGTCGTATAATATGTTGGTTGTGGGGTTTCATCTGGTCGTATAATAGTATGTTGGTTGTGTGGTTTCATCTGGTCGTATAATAGTATGTTGGTTGTGGGGTTTATGTTGGTTGTGGGGTTTCATCTGGTCGTATAATAGTATGTTGGTTGTGGGGTTTCATCTGTTCGTATAATAATATGTTGGTTGTGGGGTTTCATCTGGTCGTATAATAATATGTTGGTTGTGTGGTTTCATCTGGTCGTTTAATAGTATGTTGGTTGTGGGGTTTCATCTGGTCGTTTAATAGTATGTTGGTTGTGTGGTTTCATCTGGTCGTTTAATAGTATGTTGGTTGTGGGGTTTTATCTGTTCGTATAATAATATGTTGGTTGTGGGGTTTTATCTGGTCGTATAATATGTTGGTTGTGGGGTTTCATTTGGTCGTATAATATGTTGGTTGTGGGGTTTCATCTGGTCATTTAATAGTATGTTGGTTGTGGGGTTTTATCTGGTCGTTTAATAGTATGTTGGTTGTGGGGTTTCATCTGGTCGTTTAACAGTATGTTGGTTGTGGGGTTTTATCTGGTCGTTTAATAGTATGTTGGTTGTGGGGTTTCATCTGGTCGTTTAATAGTATGTTGGTTGTGTGGTTTCATCTGGTCGTTTAATAGTATGTTGGTTGTGGGGTTTCATCTGGTCGTATAATAATATGTTGGTTGTGTGGTTTCATCTGCTGGTATAATTTGTTGGTTGTGTGGTTTAATTTTTTGGTGTAGTATGTTGTTTGTGTGGTTTCATCTGCTGGTATAATATGTTGGTTGTGAAGTTTCATCTGTTGGTGTTTTACTGTAAAAAGTCTCAGATGCAGTCTGGTCTGGCTGCATTCTCACTAGATGGCTGAACCATTTCATTCTTTGGCTGTCAGTATTATCCAGACATGGTCTTATTCCAGCTTTCTCTCTAATGCTGGTGTTTGTAACCCTGTCTTGTCTAATATTGTTAGTGATTTTGCGGAGACAGCTCATTTCACATGGAGTTATTTTCTGTTCTGGTGCCTTTTTCATTATTGACTTGGTCTTTGTTGTATGCTGCACTCACGCTAGTGTAAAAGTATGTCAGAAAAGTAAAAGTAAAGTCTCTTTTCCACACCTTTAGGCATATAGGGCTAGACCTATAATTTTATAGACCAATCGGCACAAGATGAGTGATGTGGTCACCATCATGCCGGCCGCCTTTACTTCCCAGTACTGCACCTGGTAACCACTCAAGGCTGGGTCAACCTGGGAGTCAAGGTAATTTCTTACAAAAGTACGGCTCCACCAGGGAGTGAACCCATGACCTTCCGATCCGCACGCGAGTGTGGAGCCACTACTCCACGGCGACTCCCAAAAGTATGTCAGAGATCAGAGTGTATGTGAGCGCACATTACCATTCATGATAAGATTGGCCATGGTTAGTGTAAATACTAGGGTCACATGAGATTTGTGGGGGGGGGGGGGAAATTCTGCTGTGTGAATCTTGGGAGAACAGCTGCCACTATAAATGTGGCATGGAAAGATTACATGAATATGGCTGTTGTGGAAAATGAGTTTTAGTTATATGTTATTACATTAGCTCTCCCTCAGCAGATCAGGTTGGACTTATGAGAGTTCTTCTAGTCCGTTAGAGCCAGTGGACGTATGTTAGTTGTTTGAGTTGAAATATATGTAGTATTTGGTGTATTAGTCAGTCAGATCTATACATCATACTTGGCCACAGGTGGATTTTTATTCCTTCTGTTTCTCCACAAAATATGTGTTCCGTATTGTGTCCAGCTGTAGTGCTGGTACCTGTTAAGTGGCTCCATGAGAGGCATGAAAGTGCTGGAGGAAACTGAGATACTTAGGACTATAGGCTGCAGGAGTGAGTACATAACTGTATTCATCTTTGTTCATTGACTTCCATCGGTTTAAGGCCAGCTGCCAGTTGGAATTAGTGCCATCTTTTGAGACTGTCAGTGTGTGTATTTGGAAAAATTAGTTTGCTTTTCTGCAATGACTCAGTAGACTGCCTGTCGGGTTGGACACTGTTATCGTATATTTGATGTGTGGATCGGACAATAATGGCACAGCAAAATGCTGTGAAAACCTGTCCGCATATCCCCTACCCATTATTATCCTATATATGTGAGACATACACAGCCCTACATGTCCTATTAAGGAGACCTCACCTGTCCTCCACACCCTCTTGTATCCCTCCCTGTCCCCACCAGGTGACCTGTACCATGTGTATATATGATGCCCACTTCCATTCAAGCACCTAACAGTGTGCTGTCTCTCTGATTGCTGTCTTTCCTTGTTCTGTGAGTGCTGTTATTCCTTGTTCTCTTTAGATCTGTTATTCGCTGCTCTCTGATTGCCTATTTGTCCTGTGATTTCAGATCCCAATCTGCCTGAGTGGGCTGAGAGCCGCTGGCCACCTGCTGAAGTACTTGCTGAACAAGGACACAAGCTTGAAGGTTGTCACAGAACTGGAGGCTCTGTTCATGAAGGTAAATTATTACTGAGTCATGGTCTCTCTTACTCTGTCAGGTAGATTATTGCTGAGACATGGTCTCTAACTCTCTGTCAGGTAAATTATTGCTAAGACATGGTCTCTAACTCTCTGTCAGGTAGATTATTGCTGAGACATGGTCTCTAACTCTTTGTCAGGTAAATTATTGCTAAGACATGGTCTCTAACTCTCTGTCAGGTAGATTATTGCTGAGACATGGTCTATAACTCTCTGTCGGGTAGATTATTGCTGAGACATGGTCTATAACTCTCTGTCGGGTAGATTATTGCTGAGACATGGTCTATAACTTTCTGTCAGGTAGATTATTGCTGAGACATGGTCTCTCTCTGTCGGGTAGATTATTGCTGAGACATGGTCTCTCTCTCTCTCTCTGTCGGGTAGATTATTGCTGAGACATGGTCTCTCTCTCTCTCTCTGTCGGGTAGATTATTGCTGAGACATGGTCTATAACTTTCTGTCAGGTAGATTATTGCTGAGACATGGTCTCTCTCTCTCTCTCTGTCGGGTAGATTATTGCTGAGACATGGTCTATAACTTTCTGTCAGGTAGATTATTGCTGAGACATGGTCTCTCTCTCTCTCTCTGTCAAGTGGATTATTACATCTATTTACTGTTACATAATGTGCACATGTTACATCTGTGTACTGTCATCCCATGTGTACATGTTACATCTGTGTACTGTCATCTCATGTGTACATGTTACATCTGTGTACTGTCATCCCATGTGTACATGTTACATCTGTGTACTGTCATCTCATGTGCACATGTTACATCTGTGTACTGTCATCTCAAGTGTACATGTTACATCTGTGTACTGTCATCCCATGTGTACATGTTACATCTGTGTACTGTCATCCCATGTGTACATGTTACATCTGTGTACTGTCATCTCATGTGTACATGTTACATCTGTGTACTGTCATCCCATGTGTACATGTTACATCTGTGTACTGTCATCTCATGTGCACATGTTACATCTGTGTACTGTCATCCCATGTGTACATGTTACATCTGTGTACTGTCATCCCATGTGTACATGTTACATCTGTGTACTGTCATCTCATGTGTACATGTTACATCTGTGTACTGTCATCTCATGTGCACATGTTACATCTGTGTACTGTCATCCCATGTGTACATGTTACATCTGTGTACTGTCATCTCATGTGCACATGTTACATCTGTGTACTGTCATCTCATGTGCACATGTTACATCTGTGTACTGTCATCCCATGTGTACATGTTACATCTGTGTACTGTCATCTCATGTGTACATGTTACATCTGTGTACTGTCATCTCATGTGCACATGTTACATCTGTGTACTGTCATCTCATGTGTACATGTTACATCTGTGTACTGTCATCTCATGTGTACATGTTACATCTGTGTACTGTCATCTCATGTGCACATGTTACATCTGTGTACTGTCATCTCATGTGCACATGTTACATCTGTGTACTGTCATCCCATGTGTACATGTTACATCTGTGTACTGTCATCTCATGTGTACATGTTACATCTGTGTACTGTCATCCCATGTGTACATGTTACATCTGTGTACTGTCATCTCATGTGTACATGTTACATCTGTGTACTGTCATCTCATGTGTACATGTTACATCTGTGTACTGTCACATCATGTGTACCTGTCTTCCCCCAGAGCATGAAGTCAGACTCCAACGATGTGAAGATCTTGGTGGCTCAGATCATCAGCTACCTGTGTGAGGGTCGGGCAGGCCGCTTGCCCGGGGACAGCCAGCTGGTGCCGGTGCTGGTCATGGGCACCAAGGAGAAGAACTCGATGGTCAGGTCCTGCTGCGAGACTTCACTGGTGTCCTTGCTGAAACTGAGGACTGGTGAAGACATTTATCAGGTACTGGCTTCTTGTTGGTTGTGGATTCTGTCACTTTGTCTTCTGTGTTTTCTTCCTTCTCCTCCTCACCTTCCTCTTCCAGTGTTGTGTTGTATTTACTGTTTGGTGTTGCTGTTGTTGCCTTCTTGTGTTTGTGTCGTCTGATTTTTCTGTTCTCTCCCCCCTCCAGATTTTTGTATTGTGTGAATTATCTCATGTACCTCTCGTGTATTCAGCACTTTCCCCATCCCTCTCTCTGTCTGTCTCTCTTTTTATGCCCCTCCCCTCTCCCTGTCTCTCTCTCTCTGCCCCTCCCCCTCTCCCTGTCTCTCTCTCTCTGCCCCTCCCCCTGTCTCTCTTTCTCTGCCCCTCCCCCTCTCCCTGTCTCTCTCTCTCTGCCCCTCCCCCTCTCTCTCTCTCTGTCTTTCTCTCTCTCTCTCTCTCTCTCTCTCTCTCTCTCTCTCTCTCTCTCTGTCTTTGTCTCTCTCTTGTCTCTCACTTCTCTCTCTCTCTCTCTCTCTCTCTCTCTCTCTGTCTTTCTCTCTCTGTGTCTTTGTCTGTCTCTCTCTCTCTCTCTTGTCTCTCACTTCTCTCTCTCTCTCTCAAAATCTCTCTTACACACATTTGTGTATTTTGTCACTGTTATCATGTCACTGTTCTGTATTCTAAACCTCCCACAGTCTCTTCTGTGTCTGAATACTAGAATGCTAATAATATCTACTGTTTATTGCTGGCTTGTCTCCCTTGTGTCCACTCAACATTATTGCTGGTCTGTCTCCCTCGTGTCTTCTCAACATTATTGCTAGTCTGGCTCCCTCGTATCTTCTCAACTTTATTGCTGGTTTGTCTCCCCCGTATCTTCTCAACATTATTGCTGGTCTGGCTTCTTCGTATCTTCTCAACATTATTGCTGGTTTATCTCCCTTGTGTCCGCTCAACATTATTGCTGGTTTGTCTCTCGTATCTTCTCAACATTATTGCTGGTTTGTCTCCCTTGTCATCTCAACATTATTGCTGGTTTGTCTCCCTCATGTCTTCTCAACATTATTCCTGGTTTGTCTCCCTCATGTCTTCTCAACATTATTCCTGGTTTGTCTCCCTCATATCTTCTCAACATTATTGCTGGTTTGTCTCCCTCATGTCATCTCAACATTATTGCTGGTTTGCTTCCCTCGTGTCTTCTCAACATTATTGCTGGTTTTCCATCCCCAGGAGATTCTGGCCTCCCTGGACGTGGGCATGCAGGACTCCCTCAAGGAGGTGCTCTCTCGTTCCCTGAAGAAGATGGCGACCCAGCCAGAGTCTCCGATTGAAGAGATTGACGACACTATTTTAAGATGATGATCATGGCCTGATGTTGTTGATTTTTTCAGTGGTCGTTTGTTGGTTGTTTTTGTCATGCTGTCCATGTGAGTGTCTGGTTGTTTGGTCATGTTCTCCATGTGTGTGTGTGACTGGTTGTTTAATCATGTTCTCCTTATGTGTGTCTGGTTGTTTTAGTCATGTTCTTGTTATGTGTATGGTTGTTTTAGTCATGTTCTCTGTATGTGTATGGTTGTTTTAGTTATGTTTTTTGTGGGTGTGTTGTTTTAGCCATGTTCTCCATGTGTGTGTGTGTATGTGCATGCCTGGGAGGGGAGGGGGGTGTGAGTTCTCTAATTCTCTTCTCTTTTTTGTTGACTAGCCCAGTCAGTGAGGGCTCGTGGGGAGGAAGATGTTGGCTGGGAGAAAGTCTCCCTCCGGTGTTTGAGTATTAGATGTCATTGGACTGTCACAGTCTGTGCCAGGTTGCTCACTGACATCAGTCAGATGTCAGATTGAACTGGACCCAAGTTTTATGTGTCAGCCCAGTGGTTTTGCCAGGCAGAGTGAAGGCCCACACGTAATCAATAATTTATGATGACCTGTATCCCCAATGTGTTTCCACATAGTGGCTTGCATTTTTGTAATGAGGTGCCTGGTTGCTTGACTCAGGTGCTGTTAAGTGTCTGACACATTTGAATGGAATCTTGTATATCTGTCATAATAAGTGTGTTTCCTAGGTTTTTGTGTCACAAGTAGCAAATCTGCATGGGTTAAGGAAGTGGTGTTTCCCACATTTCTATGTCCCACATTTGTATGTTATCAATAGAAAGTTTACACAACCCGCAGGTAAATTATTGTCAGGACATGTTCCAGTTTCACATCTTACTGACATGATATTAGCAGGAGATGTGTCATCTGTTTGTTTGCTTCTGGGTTCAAGTGTTGGAGACAATAAAGTGTATATATTTCTATTTAAAACTTGTTTTGTTTACCTAAGAGTTATCTGATTAAATCGGCACACACGCACGCACGCATGATAACATCTGCTGGCAGAGAGAGCATCAGACTCAGGGCATGTGTCCCTTTACACACACACACACCTACCTATGTGTGGCTAACACACTTATGTGTGTGGCTAAAACACCTGTGTGTGGCTAAAACACCTGACCAAGGCCTGTCCTAGCTTTCATTCTTGCCTAGTTGTCAGAATATGATCTCCTCCTTCCTTCGAAGACAGATTGCATCTACCTGTCAGAAACAAACAGGCTATATATATATAATCATCATCATCATGCAGCCGGTCCTTTGCAGAATGTCGCTCTCATCACAGTCTGCCTGAAAGAAACTGTCTCCTGCCAGCTCTCCCCTCTCATGTACTTTCATTCTGAAGGAGTCACTTATATCCTGTGACCATTTCTGTGTTGGTTGGCCCCTGCCCCTCCTTTCTGGTACCTTCATTGTAAGACACTCTTGAGTTTACTCTCCGTGGGGGGGGGGGAGGGGGCTGCATACTAGTGGCCCTCTGCTATAATTTTTTCCAATCCGTTGCGGCGCTTGATATGACCAAAATATTTCAGCTTCGGAGACAGGATGCTGTTTATTAGCCAATCTTCTTTGATGTTCAGATCTATCAAGATCTAAAAATAAAAGCCAGATCTGTAAAATAGATGTACATGCAAAGCTTACGTTCTGGAACAATAAGTGGACAAATAACAAGAAATTTCCGCAAGAGTTTACAGCCGGTGAATGCTAAGAAGATGAAATTTAAGCTTGGCCGACTTTATCCTGGTAGATACAAGAACTGCCCATCTTTAGGCG